GACATTCCTCTTCGCTAGACACTAGGCACCAATTCACGTATTGGCGGTAAAGCTGAGGGCTCGACATGAGAAGCATTTACATGGTCTGAGGATGGTTGCTCTGCATTCTTGTAGGCCAAGCCCCTGCCTGAACCTAGCAAAATCCGAATCCTAGAAATGCCCTGGCGCCACAGCACTGAATACGAAAGTACAGGTGTTGCAGGTAATGGTAGGCGAATATGTGGGAGAGTGTATGACTGTCAGGTACTTGCCCATGCGCATAATGTGGACGCCTAAATCATTGCCAACATTATTCCTCTGGTTCCTTGCTATAGATATTCAGATATTCGCATACCATAGTTTTGGCATGCCCCCCTCAAAGCCTATCTGAGCCCCTGATTAGGCCCTAGTTGTCAGAACCTTCAGGGCTGAGTCCACACGAGCCGGAAGGTTTTCTTGCCTGACTCCCGTTGGAATTCGTACGAAACTCGTTCCTTGCGGATCGGGGGGTGATGCAATAAAGGGTCCTGTCTGGTGGTTCCGTTACTGCAGGCTCTCACGACTTGTACTGTTTGGGGAGCTATGTTGATCAAGGTTTGGGCTCAATGTCTTCTGAAATTAAGATGTCATGTTCACTCCGTTCAGTTTTTCACGGGCTTGACCCTTTCTTGGCAGCTTCTGTGAGGAAGGTGAGCCCGTTCCAGAATGAACTGGGCGTGGCGGCCAGCCAGCCTGTTGGCCACGCAAGGCGCCCTCCGGGAAACAAAGGGCCGGAGGTTTTCGAACCCCCCGCCCACCACTTGTACATTGCAAGACCGGATATAATGGTTCAGCCTGGATTGAAACTTGAAGACCATATTCTGCAACAAATTCGAAATTACTCCAAATTCACCCTGGGGTATGCCCCGATGAGTCAAGGGTTGGAAATTTGGAGCATCGCTGAAGATCTAGCCTACTGTGTCAGGACGGCGCAAGCCATGCTAGCAATGACTTGGTTTTCTTGGGTGTAGGATTGGCTATTTATTTCGGAGACATGAAGACTAATAGCCGTTTGGCTGAGTTGGTCTTGCACCTACGTACTTTGAGCTCTAATCTAGAGGCGTAAATAACTACGGATACTATTCTGGGGGGTCCCTTACTACTATAACTGACTGTATATATATATATATATATATATATCTAACTATGGTATAATGGCCCCCAAACCCTATTCTAATGATTATATAAGGCCCCCCTATATTACTGTAAGCCTCAGTTGCCAAGCCGGGGCAGCTTGGCAAGCCTGGCAAGCGTTTTGCTCAGCGGAGTTTGTTAAGTAATACCGCGGGCCTCAATAATTACCCGCCCCCTGCTGACGATTCAGTCTTGTTACCTACAGATTAAAAGCCACAGTCGGGCCGATATTTTCGAGCCCTGCCACAAGAACCCTAAAGGTAAACTTCCAAACAAAGGGGCCCATAGTTCTGAGAAGTTGGAGAAGCCCTCCTGATAGCTCTTGAACGGTCAAGGAAACATGGAGAAAACTGCCGAACCCTAAGCCCCAGCACCCACTGAACCTGTAGCAGAGATCTCGCCCAGTGTTGCTTAGTCTGGGTTCTTGTTACGGAGTTTACGGTATTTTGCCACGAAATGGATCTAAGGTAAATCATATAGTTTCCCTATTATGGTAGCTTAAACCCTTAACAAGAACCCGGGTTGTGAGTGTTGAAACTCTTTAACCGCAGCTGCAGGCAAGACTTCGATGCTGATGGGCAGCAAGTTGCCGGCCCTCGTGCTAGGCCCATTACTCGGCCATCGGTTTTGAGTTTAGGGTCATCAGGATGCCATGCTTGCGGGGTTCTACACAATATAGTGATATATATATATATATATATATATATATATATATATACACGCGTACGTCCACCGAAAATATGCAATAATTTAAAACGATAAGTGACATACAATGAACTCAATCAGTAGCTAGATAAGTAAAGCGGAAGGGGTTAAGAGTTTGGAATGCCAATAGGAATATGTTCATGCTCTATGCATAGAATACTATAAAAACTCTTATGTTTACAATACATTGTATATAGATGTATATGCTACCCCCCCTTCCCCCGAAGAACTACCACGGAGGTGCCACGATAGCGCCGCCAATCCTCCTAGGTTCAGGCTTCTACTGTATGATCCAGGCTTAGTGTTAGATTTTGAAGTTCCGAGGGGACAGCATATGTATATCGGCAGGCGCCTTCATTCTGAATTCTTGTGACCCTTCACGCAGATACTCTGACATATGATTTCCCCAACGATGAAAGTCATTTCTGTCGGAATACCCGAAGCTTAATATGGGCACGAGCATTAACTCCTAACGTAGCCTTCACTACAGTCTCGGAGCCAGGCCCCAACAATACGTATGAATGACCGTGAGCATTGACTGACTCTTAATCCTAAACAACAGTATCCTTAGACTTCCCCTGCCATTAGACCTTACATTGGCGCAAAGTGTGACAGTAGTCTTCCACTTCATGTTCATCCAAAAATGGTGCCTTGTAGATTCACGTTTTAGTTCGTATGGATTAACATGTTATGTCGACTTGTAACCCCATTATGTGCACATCCCATACTCTGACCGTAAAGGCAACACTTGTTCGTAACAAAGATGTTTTTTGGTTTCCCTAGGAAAAATTGGTTTGTGGCAAAACCAACTTTTTCTTTCCTAGCAACAAGATGGTTTTGGTGTGAAATGCCAATTTTTTCCTAGGAAAAAGATTGCTGTGATGTGAAAAAACAATTTTTTCCTAGGAGAAAGACGGTTTGGGTGTGAAAAAATTGGTTTTCCCCTAGGAAAAGATAGCTTTTGTGTGAAAAACAAATTTTTTCCTATGGAAAACCATCAAAAAATTTTGGAGTCCGGCCACATAGTTTACAAAAAACGTGTTTGTTTTGTTTTTTGTTTTTATAGGAAAAGTTGGTTTTTCACTCCAAAACCATCTTTTTCCTATGGAGCAGTTGGTTTTTCACGTCAAAACCTCGCTAGAAAACCCTGGTTTTGGAGTGAAAAACCAACTTTTTTTTTCCTTGAAAAAGATTGTTTTGGATGGGAGAACCAACTTTTTCCTAGGGAAACAAAAAAAACATAAAAATCATATCTTTTGGGACACTACACGGCAGGACTCATATTTTTCCTAGCGAAAAGTTGGTTTTTCATTCCAAAACCATGAAAGCAAACACAAAAACATCTTTGTGCAGTCCGGTGCAGCTGCAGTGCTACAGTAATTTTGTCTATGTGAGCTGCAGGCGTGCGTCACGCACCAGCCACGAGATGTTGCCCAGCAGGCGATGTTTTCGGGCATCAGGCTTGCGTTTGAGGGTGCATAGGGATCAAAAATGTCAGGGTTTGAGGTTCAAGATTCCGTGGTCTTGAGCGAAGTTGATGGTCCCGACCCTGAACCCGAAATCCAAAGCCCATTGTGGTCCGTTATGTTCCTGCACATGCCTGCCAACCCGTAAACCCTGTCAGAGAAGCCTCTACTTGGAGGGTCGGGGGACTTAGTAACTGGTTATTTTAGGGACTTATAAGTACCATAACCCCAATTAGGGTCCCTATTAGGGGACTTATAAGTCTACTTACTACCCACTTACTAAGTCCCCCGACCCTCCAAGTAGGACCTTCAACTTCTAAACATTCAGGCCCTCAACAGTAACTCTTAGGCGGGATTATTTGAGGGACCCCTTAAAGGGTACCCCTTCTGATCTGGCTCTCTTAAAAGGGACCTTATGTAGAGTTTCTTTATCATCAAGGGTCCCCTTAATCCTAACTCCCAACTCTAAACCCAATAGGATCTGAGTATCAGGCTTGCGGTTTAAGGTTACAGGCTTCAGGCTGATGGCTTATTATCTTTGGCGGGTTTGCAAGCCTTAAACAGAGACCCCGTAAACCCGCAACCGAAACCAGGGACACTGCGAAAGGGGCCGTATATGCCGGAACACCTGAATTTCAAAGATTATAGAGTTATAGATAGACCCTGGACAGGAATCCTTCATTTTAGTTTCAAGCTTGAAGCTTGAAACCAACAATTACACAGAACGTTTATTCCTTCATTGTGGGCTGTCACAATGCTGGCACAGCCACCTGTTTCATTGTTGGTTGAAACTTATCCTACCTTCGAAGGACGTGGAAATCAGGTCGTACTGTATGGGTCGCTGGAAGTATATGGCTGCATGAGCCCAACACTAGGGATTGCCAAATATCACTGAAATCATGATCATACGAAGACATTTGCATTTCTGTAACTTAATTTGGGAAAGCTGGTCATTTCCAGGGTATCAGGGGCTTTGTGTAGGAGCGAGGGCCACACAAGGCCAGACCGCAAGGTTTGCATTGTTAGCGTCCAGGGAGGTTACAGGGCTGTATGCTCTCTCGCTGTCACCGGTGCTTGCAGCGATAAGCCATTACGATCCTGGAATCAGGGGTTTGGAAATGTTGGGTTCAGGCCTCAGCCCCAAAACCCTCAACCCCGGAAGGTTTAATCGCTGAGACCCATTTCTCCAACTCCCAAGTCAATGCCTACCATAAGCCACCCTAACCGAACACCAATTTTGTGAGTGCTTGTCCAACACCCTCATATAGAATTTATAGGCACATTAGAAAAACACAAGAGGTTTTGGTAACTAAGGTTAGCCCAAGATCCGAGCCCTCTAACTACGGCCCCTTGCAGCCTCTCTAAGCCCTAAACCCTAAGCAAAACCCCAAACCCTAAACTTAAACCCGAAGCCCCAAAAACCGCCCCCCTGTCAAAAGAAACAACAAAAGATCAACAACAAAGCAACAAAAACAAACCCAAAACTCACATGGAGGGGTCGGAGTCCCAACGAGCTGCCTTTGCAGCAGCTTGCCTGGTACACATGGGGGTTGGGGGAGGGCTTAGGGGAAATTTGAGGATTTCGGGTTTAGGGGTTTACGGCTCAAGCCGCTCTGGTTACGAGGCCCTACTGGGCAAGCCCTTGTACAGTTGGTTTTGTCACTAGGTTGATGTGCGATGGAACATCCTGAGATGCGGAAACTCACGTCGTGTGTGGGCTATGCTAAGAGGATGGCAGCCAGAATGCAGCTCAACGCCGTGAAGGAGCAGCTTAACATCGTCCTGGTTGCGCTAGCTGGTTCGACTAATGCGAAGACGGATGCTTCAGGCTGCGCCGGCGGCAGGTGCAATGTCTCCAATCAGTCGGTCCAGACAGAGGTAAACGTCATTACAGAAAAAGAATACTCTGTTTTGATGAACGCTGTCGTGGCGAGGGCCGAACAGTGCCAGGAGCAGTCGCAGTCTTTGTTACGTCGGCAAAACGCTGTCATTGAACAGCTGCATTCCGAGACTCGCTCACTTCGTTTGCAATCAGAGATGCGTGAGTTGCCAGCCTCAGCAGCCACGAAAATTGCAGATGCATCAGACCAGCCACGACTATGGCCAGGAGTTGCGTCGTCTTCAACACCATCGACTTTGGAGGAAACGGATCCTTCACGTGACTTCCAATCAGAGAAGACCCTCATTGAACAGCACGGGATAGACAGGATGGCTCAAAAACGACAAAGACGTGAAGACCGCCACCGCCTACGTGCACGGTCAGCTCAGGAGTTGCACATACCCGGAGCAGACGAATCACAGCACGATGTGATGGAGTTTGACTAGCTCTAGGATGTCCGTGAGAATTTGTTTACTTGCCCAAGTTTCCACAGGCAGGAATTATGCCTGCTGCCCAGCTGATAACACAGAGCCTGGGTTCAAAAAAGGGCAAGCAAGCCTGCAGCAAAAAAGCAAGTTTAGGGATTTAGGGTTTAGGGGTTTAGGGTTTTGGCATATGCGTAGTCCAGGTGTAAAGGGCAAGTTGAGGGATTTAGGGTTTTGGGTTTAGGGCAAGTTTAGGGGTTTTGGGTTTAGGGTTTTAGTGATTTTGGGATTTTGGGTTTAGGGTTTAGGGGCTTAGTCAGGGTTTAGGGATGTGTAGGGCTTGGGGTCTAGGGTTTAGAGCTAGCCGTTTCTGTGCCAGGGATCTCGGCATGTCGGCAACTCAGGGTCTTGATTACAAAAGCAAACCACTAAAGTAAAAGCCAGAAAGTTGGAATATGATTCTACTAAACCCTTCATGGTAAATTACAAAGGTATCCTACCCTGAAACCATATTCCAACTTTCTGGAGTTCCCTTTACGGGGATACGAGGAGGACTGGTTTTCGCAAAGGCTACCATGGCTTTCGCTACCGAGAGTTGCGAGAATCGGGTCGGCTCCTGGCTTTCTGGGGTTGTCTTTTCCTACTAGGACTTGAACTTATTGGGTGTCTATATTAACCATAATAAGGAGGCTAAAAGTTTAACTTTTAGGAGGGGTTCAGAAGTTAGCCAAGTAATTAAGCTAGAGTAGAAGCCAGAAAGTTGGAATATCCGGTAGATTATAGGGGATCCTGCCATTATTCCATATTCCAACTTTCTGGAGTTCCTTTTAGAGGCTCATACCCTACCCCTGGTTTTAAGGTATCTAACTTTCTATATAAAAGATCCTAACCATAAGACTACTAGGTATCCTTAAACAGGGGTAGGGTACGAGCCTCTAGGTAGAGTTTGTGTCTAGGGTCAGGGCTGCAGGTGTTTGGGGGTTTGGGGATTGGCGTTTCGGGTTACGACTGGTCAAAGCCCTGCGCCGTTTCAAGCCGGGCCCTACCCACACCTTCCTGTTTCACTATTTTGCGATGGGCCAGGTCAGTTTTTTGGACATAGGAATCTCTTATGGAAACCTGATTTCTTGATGACTGCTGTTTCCCAGGGTTTCTGGGACCTAAACCCTAACCCCTAAACCCTAAACCGCCTAATCCCTACACCCTAAACCGGTTTCTGGTTCAACAATGAACCCGCATGAAGCTGTCAAGGCCCTGGGAGTCCTGAATAGGGATTGTGCAGGAAATCTTAGATCCCCAATGCCCAACCTTTAAGCTTGTTGGGGTTTAGGGTTTAGGGTTTAGGGTGGTTCTTATGGTTTAGTAGGCATCGGAAAGCTTAACCTTTCATTCTGTGGCTTATTGGGGAAGTAAGAAAGGGAAGCATGGCGCCTTCATTGAATCCTGGTGAAATCCTGCTCAGGCCCATTCGGGACTTCTAGTGTTCGGAATGCTCAGCAATTGTATTCCATACAGCTCCATGTTTCGATTATTGTGTTCGATACTCCAACATAACTTTTCAGGCCCCTCTGGTTTAGAGTTTAGGGTCCCCTTATACCATCCTGGATTTCGGAACTTGCTTGGCCAAGACTTCCACACTGCAGGACTTTGGATACGAGAACTCGGTCGTTAGGTTTTGGGCTTTCGGGCTTTAGGCTTTTTGAGAGGGCGTCGAGTTGTGTTTTCAAAGAGGGCTGGTTCTTTATTGCATGATCTTCGTGGCTTGAAGGCCTGGGGTCGCCGGTTGCAAGGTTCTGCGGTCGCAGGGGTTGGGGTCGCGAGCAGACAGTTTGCATGTTGTTGCAAAGCGAGTTCAGGTCTTGTGCTGAAGCCCTGCACCCAGGCAAGGCGCATCAGTTCAAGTGGCGACGCCAGCCTTGCCAGCTCCAGCGACACAGCCGGAACCTTTGTCGCCGTTGCAGGGTTCAGCTTGAACAAGCAGCATATCACCTCCTTGTGGTCGAAGCTCTCTCTCTTTCTGTCTCTCTCTCGCTCTCTGTCTCTCTCTCTATGTCCCTCCCTCTCTCTCTCTCTCTCTCTCTCTCTCTCGCTCTCTCTCGCTCTAGCTACCTTACTACATCCGAACCCCGGAATCCCAGCCCTGACTTCTTACCTTATTCTTTGGAGTGTGCCACCTGCTGCAAACGGGGAAGTAGCTTCGGTAAGATTCTAATAGTACCGGAAATTTCAATCCGTTTTAAAGTACAGACTTCATAGTACCCGTACGTAGTCCGCAACCAAAACCTCCATTGAAGCCACTATATTATATGTTCTATGCCAACCTGGAAGCAATGCCATCCGCGGGAGCTTGCTCGTCGTCGTCTTATTTCGCCCCACAGAGCCGTACAGGAAAGCATGTTTCTCAATCCGAAAAACCGTGAACACTAACCCCTGATCTTATCCCTACCCTAAGGCTCCAAAGTAGTTCCTTTTTGGGGTTCATATTTAGAATCCTATAAGGTAATCCCGAAAAGGACCTACTATACTACTGTGGAGCCTCTGGGTAAGCCCTAAACCCTAGGAAAAAAACGCTAATCTTAACCCGCAGCTGCGTTCACGACCACCTCAAACCAAGACGGAAGGAACACAGTGGTTTCTCTAGAGCTTCCTTTGACAGAGGCGGATCAAGTCGAAGCTTCAAACTCAAACGAGCTTGAATATCAAGGTGTATTTGACAAAAGGACTATCGAACCCAAAGGGCCCCAGTTTTCTACATTGTAGGTTACTGGGGTGTGTAATATATGGTTAGTAACCTACTATATAGGTAACTGAGTCGTGAGCAATTCTGGGCTGGTGTTTTGGTTGGGTGCCTATACTGCTTTCATGGCACTTTCTTTACGTACCTGGATTTGTCCCAAGAGCAACTGCACCTTTAGAGTCCTCTCACCAATACTCTTACCCAGCAACTGTGGTGGATTGCACCAACCCCAAACGCCAAATCCTCATCCCCAAACCGTCCGTCACACACAGTTGTTTAGAACATTATGTACAAATCCTGACCCACGTCAAGGTCGAAACCCCTAAACCCACCGAAAGCCTTAACCTGAGACCAAGCCCTTAACCCTAAACCACTGTCACCGAACATGACCCTGCAATGCGGGCCTCGTCCTTGAAACGTAGGAGTGAAATGCAACTCTAAACCGTGAACCTTCAGCTCCGACGTAAGGCCGAGATCAAAATCTCTTCTGCGTCGCGGCTCCAGCCAACAACTGGCACCACCTGCTCCGCCCGGGGCCCCGGAGGAAGACCGGAGAGCTTATGTTAGGTTCAGGGGTTAAAAATGGTGTAACGTTTAGGAGACTGGGGGAATTCGTGCCAGGGTGTTAGGGCTCTTACAGGACGGATGGTTAGGAGTGTAAGGGCGCTTATAGGAGTTTCGTTCCTTCTTGGGTTTACGATTTCATGGGTTGCGTCTCTAGGATTAGGGCTTGGGGTTTCAGGAACTTAATTCAAAACACCTATATAGGGCTCGTACACGGTTTCCCTGTGGTCTTGTATAGTTACTGTATGATATAGCCCCGAGGCCTCTGGAACTTCCAAGACTACCGCAGCAGGGTTTTTGGAGTTTTTGCTTGAGCGGTCGGCTCTGTGATCCTGTCGCATGTGAACTGCATGGAGTTGCCAGGTAAGAGCAAGCTTCAGAGAGCTACGGTTTCGGGTTTGCAGTTAAGGGTAAAGCATCACCCAAGCCTTGCAGATCCTTTCCCAAAGGGTCCAAAGTACCTGTATGGTAGAATGTAGGGTTTCCATATTAGGAATTACTACTATGATTTGGCGAAGTATCCCCCCCCCCCCAAATAACCGTACCTAGGACCCTTTGGGTTCTTGCACCTATCAGAAAGAAGCAGAGCCTCGGAAATTGACAAAAAAGTCAGTAAGCAACCTCATCTTGGCGGTCTTCTGACTGGCTCTTAGGACTTCAACTTTTTGCGTTTCTATATTAACCATAATAAGGAGGCTAAAAGTTGAACTTTTAGGAGGGGTTCAGAAGTCAGCCAAGTCATAGCAAGCTGCATTCCCCAGGGGCACAGGTTTATTTTACGGGTTATGGTCTTAGACCTCGATGTTTCAGAACAGCTTCGCCATAGGGACCGGGTACGGGGGAGGGGGGTAGGGGACTATACTTCCTCGAATAGGCCTTATTAGGTCCTTATTATAGGCATGAAGGCCCCCTACCCACCCTCCCTCCCTTTTAGGGGCCCCTATGACTTCAGCACTCTTGATTCTGAAATGTGCCCCAGACCCGTGACCGGCTGGGAGACAGCTCCAGTCGGCTGCTGCAACATGGGAGTTTCCCAAAATTAGGGGTACCTTATTTGGGGATCCTTATAGTAAGGATCCTACCATTCAGGGTACTATATATCAGGTGTATTTTCGGAAACTCCCAGAGGTGTTCCCACCAAGCCCCAGCAACAACAAAAAGCAACACCCTCACAGCTGTGGGCCTTGTGCCGAAATTTTAGCATGAAGCCACAGGATTTGGGAACGTGTAGGTGTCAGGTGATTCGTCTATGTTTCAGGGTTTATGGGCATGGCACCAGCGTGCTTCAGCGCTTTTGGGGTGTCTGGTATCTAGGTACTTGTGAGAGCGAGGAAATGCTGTGCATCAAAACAAAGTGGCCGGAGCACTGACAAACCATGCGCGCTCTTGATGTTCACTCTCGAGTATCGCGAAGTTCTCGAACAGAGCATAATTACCATACACCAGGTGCGCAAAAGAAGTTACGAACTATGTAGTGTTGCGGTATTCCCAGTGAGCTTCCTAGACAGTGTGAGTCTTGCGCAGTCCGACAGGGGAGGTTCGTTAACTACTGTTAAGGAATGTTCGCTTGCTTTTGCCAGGCCTTTCATAGTGGCAAACACCATACTAGTCGAATAGGTCAGGTGCAGGAGCAGGGCTGGTAGCTCTGTGGGAGCCCTACTTGGAGGTTCATGGGCAGTTAGGGTTATAAGTAGGGTAACTACACTTATAACCCGCATTA